AAATGTAAAGGCGTTTCTGCACTCTGCGCTCTCGGCCACGCCCACTTCTACGCTGCAGAACAGACATCGACAGAAGCAGAAGGAGGAAGTTTCTCCTGCTGTGTGGGCTGCACAAAGGTGCAGCAGGTGCTACATAATTTAAAATAATTTATTTTCAATAAAAATCCATGGCCATCGTGCAGCTTATCCATCAATCAGCTAAATGTGTGTCATGTCCAATCTTATTTTGAAAAACTGCGATAGAGCGAGTCCGCGAAAAACGAACCGTGAAGTAGTGAGGGACTACTGTACTAGTATTTGTTAGTCTTGGACAGCTGGTGACCATGTGTTCTGGAGTTAGTACAACCTGTTTTGAGAAGGTCCATTTTGCAATGGTTTCCTCACCTGAGAGCAGTGTAAAAGTGACAGAGTAGATGCCATTCTCTTTTGTAGCGGCTGTGCTCTCCGTGTAGGTGATATCCACCTGAAATTTGACCGGCTTCTGGAAGACTGTGGGGCCGGCTGTGGACTTGTACTCTGCTCGAAAACTGGTCTGTGAGATCACACTATGGCTCAGGCTGGGAATCTGACAACAACAAAATAGAATCCACATAAGAAAAACAAAAAAACAAAACAGGAGATAGGTAGAAGAATGGCACCTTATGGGAATAATAGGTTGTAGTAATGTCATGTTTTTTCTAAAATCCTGCAAATGACAGAATGAGCCCTCATTAAAATAGCCTCCACATACCATGAGCCACAGTTGAGACTCTAAGAAGATTAATGCCTCAGAGAGTAGCCATGTGTGCAGAGAGACTTAAGCTAATATAATCTCAAGCCATCCAACAACACGGCACCCTCCTGCCTAAAATGAATTTGTATGCCCAATGAACAGGCGAGCGCTGAAATTGTCACATTCTGTCACAACGCTGAGGAGGGGTTGACATTCCATTAATGTGAGTGTGCTCAAAGGTATAATTCCTCTGGTTCAGGTGCCAATCTCCTGCCTGGAATACCAGCTTGCCTAACCCAGAGGAGAAAATAGCTGCCTTGGGGGAAGGAGAAACAGATCTGACTTTGACCTGCGCTGGAAGAGTTGTGTTTACTTAGACTTTGTTAAATCTAACCGGGGTGAGGAGTGGTTCTGTTCAATTATGCTCACTGAATGTCAACTCCCACTGCTGAATGTTTGGTGTTCACTGACGTTGGCCTGCATCTGAACATCCACACTCTTACAAAAAATAAATGCACACAGATAGGGTGTACAATATTTCTTACACAGCTAACCACACACACACACACACACACACACACACATACATGCTCAAACCACTGTAGTGTGAGAAAAGGCATCTATATGCTAATGGTCAGTGCTATGTGTTGATTCTTCTATTGACCTTAAGTGAGTCTACATTTAAAGAGAAAATAGAAGTGCTGAGTACAAGCAGTTTACCGAACTGCTACAAAAATCAGAGGAATGTTAGGAAACAGAGAGAGGCTGCAGTAGAACAGTCAATGTTCAACATCTGACATGAACACAAAGACTGATGGGTGGTGGTGGTGGGGGGGGTGTTAAAGGGAAGATGGAACTAAGGTCAGGATCAAAAGGGACAAAGCAGCAACAATTGTGCGTACCGAAAGGAAGGCTTGGACAATGTCTGCCTTGATGGAGCTGAGAGGCTTGTCCTTGATGACAATAAAGATCTGCTCCTCTTTTTCCAAGTTGATGAAGTTACCAAACCAGGATTTTTTGGCAAGTCTATTAGGAACGACAAGAAAAGAGGCAAATATTATTAATCATCTTCTAGCAAGCATTTGACAAGGTATCACCCTTGTGATGTAGGTGCTCCCCAGTCTTACACACCCATCCATTTATCGATCCCTACAAGAAAAATAGAGAAGAGGGGAAGTGCTCCCTAATGTCTCTCTTTAGAAGCCCAGGAGAAATGGAAAGAAACATTGATATGACACCCTGGGGGAATAATCTAAAACTATGAAGAGGACTTATTTTAAAATGGTTTCTTCCATAGTTCAAAATAAGGGCCTTCTCCTAAGTGCAAGTCTTCACGGTAAGGTGATACACACAATTAATTGCCATCTATCAATTCCTCCTCTGTGATAGCTATTAAAAAGACATTAGCAAACAAGACAGGGAAGCATATCCACAAGGACCTGCACAGAGGGCCATAAAACATATAGATGTTCTGTGCATCAACTTGGTGGTCTAATAATTGTAAAATCCTACATAAGATTCACTTTTCAAATTATGTTAAAGCCTTTTACCAGAGGTTCATGTACTGATCATAATCTGTTACCCAAGAAACAACCCACAGGGCTCAATCCTCGGTTCCTAAATTTTTGTTATTACTTTTCACCTCCTGTTTTTATTTTTTCCCAGAGCAACCTTTAAAGTCAAACACAATGCACTTGCCTATAAATTGCACATTTTTATTCCTCCTTTTAGCTCCTTTCAGCTAAAGTAGAAGGAGGGAAGCTCAGAGGAAAAAAAGATATGAGTGTTTTGTGTGTTTAGATTTCAATTCACCACTACGTTTTACATTATATTCACCATTTGCATTATTTTCAGATGAAAATGTAGATTGTGCTAATCAAGCTTGTACAGCAGTACATATGCAATATGGTATACACGATGAAATGAAAGTACAGCCTTTTTCAGTATAGTTTTATTTATTTGTAAATATTGAAAATCCAATGAAACCAACCAAACTGGCATATCTAGGATAACACTGAGCAATCAGTTTTGTAACTTCATACAATATGCCTCCCCAACTACAACTGCCACCCTCTACCCCATAATCCACTACTCCCTGTTCTCATGCGTCATCACCAACACCAATGAAACCTGAGGTCGTTACAGAAAACTCAGCAGGTAAAAATGAAGCATTTATAAATGCCAGGGTTTCCAAATCATTGTGCTATTAAGAGCAAATCAAGGGGTCCACAGGTTGTGTAGTTGCAATACCAATGGTCCCTTCAGTGTTGCCAGATACATGATAATTATTGCAATTATTCAATAGTTTAGGGATCTATACCATAAATAGTTATTTAAAAGCCCCAATATACAACAGTTTTGGCAGTTAGTGCATCAAAAACAAACAAAAAAATGTTTTTGTTCATTTGCAAGAATCTACTAATCATCAAAAAGTCCACATAACTGCCTTATTGAACATGTTTGTCAATCCCAACACATACCACAGCACCACTATTAAAAATGTGTACCCTCACTCTGCACATACAATAATTTTGGTCAAAATATGATCGCTTTAAAGTGATTGTTCACAACTACTATCTGACAATCCCGAGTTCCTTCAAAAAAAATGAAATCTACTTACTCTGGGGAAGACTCTGGTGTGAGGCTGGACATCTCCTCTTGTGTAGGAACTGGAGCAACAAAGTTAGTCAGGCAAATGTGAACAGCACAGATAAGGTTAACATGTACATGACATTAGGCTTTCTAGTCAAATATTATGTGAAAATAATACAATATCATACTGTGTTCTGTGTTTGTCAGAAAGGTTATGTCAGTGATGATCTCAGTACCTTGGAGTTTCCTGCGGTGGAAACGTGGTGAGCCCAGGAAGCTGTTCTTGATGGAGTTGAGGCGCGTTCTCCAAGGCATGCCTCCTATGGACGGGCTTGGTGGTGGTGTGGAATTTGGTGTCCCAGATGGACTGTCCTTGGGAGTGTGCACTGGAGTGCCTTTAGGGGTGGGGAGGGGACTGCCTCGAGGGGAGGGGTGAGGGGTAACCTGTATGAGGGGGATAGATTTGGGAGCGTGGTCAGTAAAAGGAGAAGGAACAGACACCACGGGGTGAAAATGGTGTAACCGGATGGGTGACAGTGATGTAATGGGGCTAAAGGGCACCGAAAGTTGAGGGCTGGCAACATAATGGGAGCGCCGTACCTGCGGGCTGTTTGGTATGGGAGCTTTGGAGATGGGGGAGAAAGCAAAAGGGGATGGAGAGGATGGAGAAGTGGGAGTAGGAGGCACAGAGAGAGAGAGAGGATGTGGTGGAGCCTGGCAGGGAGTGGAGGGTTCTGATTTGGCTGCAGGAGGAGAATCAGGGGATGTTTCAGGTAGGGGATTTGATCGTGTGGCATGTAGGGGCTTCGGGGCAACTTTGGGCTTGGCAGGGAGTGTTTGCGTCTTGTTGAGCACTCCTGGCAGCGGCTCACAGTTTGGAGAGAGTGAGTTGGGAGTGGAAATTCGTGGGCCAGCACGATTCAGAAGAGGTTCAGGAGACTGGCAGGGGCTGGCGTTGGGGGACTCAGTCAAGTCAGGGGACTGAGGTGGGACACAGAACTTTCTAACAGGCTGGATTCAAAAGACATGGAGTGATGATGCACAGCACAACGGAGCAAAAGCAGGTGTGGTGGATGATTCAAATACAGTACAACACAGGGGGACACAAGCACACACAGAACAAGAAAGCCCATAAAAACATACAAAAACAGAAGCAGCCCAAGAAGATAGAAGTGGGTGAGGTGTGTACATTAGGTGGGGAAAAAAGAAAGAATTGCAAGACAAAACAAAAAAAAATCAAAATATAAATCATTCATGTCAAACAGATGAAACAAAACTGAAACGGGAGAAAATATCTGCAAGCAATATGAACAATATCTGAAACGTCCAAACAAGAGATAAAACGATAGACTTGACTTGCATAAAACATACAGGGCTCCAATAGCAAAGAAAAACAAGCAAACACAGATGCAGGAGACACGAGACCCGCTGTGAACACAATTTGGGCTGACTCAATAACAAGACGAAAAAGTAGCATCACTGCAGTGAGATTTCTGGTTTCATGATAGGTTTATTGATCTGTTTGACTTGTAATGCTCAAATTGTAGAAGCAGTCCTCCACTATTTGCCTTTGACACCAAGCCCTTTTCCAGAAATAACCCCACACAGAGCCTCCTGCAGAGAGCACAATCTGGGTTTTTGATACTTCTGAGAAATCAATTTCCCTTTCAGATCAGCCTGAAAGAACCTGTGTGGTGTAGGGAGCTTGTCTTAGCATTGTGGTATAATCTTGAGCCTTCTCAGGCTAGTCAACTGGAAAAGTTTACCACATGCTTCTCCAGCTCTGAGCAAGGAAAGTGGTGCTTTCTGAAGCACTCCCTGATCTGGATTTCTGCAGAGCTCAGGCCACAGAAAGAAGAAACTGGGATAATCAGGATTGAGAGAATGAAGAAAGATTTCAGGATTGAAGGAAGTTTTTTGTGCTGTCTCAGCCCTGTGTGGGATTTTTGGAATTACTTAAAGACAATTGTATGAAAATACTAATGACTAATGTAATGCCAAAATAATAATAATAATAATAATAAAATGATCTGATACTGGCTTAAAAAGGTAATCACAGTGGATATGAACTTAGCAAAACTGTTAAATTGAAGAAAGTGAAAATGTTTGGTAATAAACCATAATTTCACAAAAAGAGATAAAGTTTGATTGTGTAAATCTGGAATGCAGTTTTCTTGGATGGACAACAAACAGCAATAAAATGGGATTTGTAGTAGCTGAATGAATGTGAAGGAATCCCAGTTTTTTTTCCTTCCTCAACTTTCCTTCACCAGAGGGCTTCAATACAAACACACCTGAGATCCATTGGGACTAGTGCACTTCAGGAGTATAAATAACAGCAGATGACTTCAACCAGACGCTGTTGCGTTGTCTGCCTTACGGTAGTATGCTCCTGGTCTGATAGTTACTCTTTGCAATTTGTAAAAGCCAACCTTTTTTCTATGTGTTGTACTGACTCCTGTGCTCCACCTGTGCCTTGGATCTCCTGGTTTCCCCTCTAAAGGCTCCTTGTGATCTCCGCCGCTCATTGCCTTCCACCGCTGGCCTCATCAAATGAATCTTTCTGGAACCACCTTACACCTTGTCTCTAGAACCATTCGGACCTTCGCCTCTGTGACAATCACAATTTCTAACAGTAAGAAACTAACTGTACAATATCTCCTGTGGATAATAAGACTCTAAAATCTGCTCTCTGCTCTCCAGGATTCCAGTCCCTCCCTGCTGAGTCATCACGTCGTTCGTTCATTCACTTATAGTAAATAAACACTGAACTTTTCTCTGATCTTGGAGTTGATTCTTTTCGATCATTTGCTTTCTGGGTATTATACTAGAACCTTACAGGATGTGTGTTAAGCAGTGATTATGAGTGAGGTGTAAAATGTGAGTGATTGTGAGGTCTTATGAGTTACCCGTGGGCTGCTGATGGGGCTGGTGGAGAGGCCGGAAGAGGCTCCACTGATAGATCGTGACCTGTAGCACAAATAAATACACAACAGAAGAGAGGTCATTTATGTGTGTTCATTTGACACAAGTGGCAGTGAGAGATTGGTTCACATGTTGTATATTGTTTAAAAAGCACAGAAGCACATTAGACTTGGTGGGTACACATAGGTTGCTATCTAGCTTCCTGCAAGCACAACATCTGTTCACACAAAGAAGATAAATGCACTACAACACAGTAACAGCAGTACTGACTTGACAAGCCACATTACTAATATTGACTCCCAGCAATTAGTCCCACACCGCTTAAGCTTCAGGTTCAAATATATTGATCTGTCAAATCCATAGGCAACTTCATGCAGACTACTACTCAAACTAGCTTCCTTCCTGTTATTTCGGGCTTTCTTTGTGCCTTTAGGCATGGAAAATATCTAGAGCAGGAGAATAAAGAGGAACATTTGGTTGAGTGCCATTTGTCATGTTTGTCATTTTCTTCACAGATGCCGTCAATAACCCCAATGAGCAGAGTCCTGCTCAGAAATGAACAATCATGGCACAATCTGTCTCCATCAAGCCCATGCGTGTACGCACACAAACACACAGACACAGCCTGTCAGCACTTGGAAACACCAGCTGCTCACTGTCACAACATTGTCCCTTTTGTCATTCAATCCAATAATCCCCCCTCCTCCTTTTCTCCATCTTATTCTCTCTAATTCTCAGCACTGATGGATTTATTTCCCCCCTCCCTTTTAAACAATGAAATAATGAAACTGAAGAATTTTTTGGAAGATTTCTTAGATCTCATGGAGAAATGTCAAATAAAAGTAGGGAGTTAGAGACTGTCAGGGGGAAAAAAACATAAAAATAAAAAAAACAATACCTATTATGTCGTTTATTAGTGTACCACTGTTCACTACAGAGGCTCCTTAATCAATCCCAAAAGAAAAATGTTAAACTAGAACTTGATTCTTACACTTAGCAACAAACACAGTCATAACAGAAGAGCAGGAAAATGTAGAGACACCCACTGCAGAGTTATTTTTGTAACTCCCTAACTGCCAATTTATGAGTGCATCTTTTGCACGCATTCAGTCACATGAGTAGGCGATGCTGAGACAACGTTGGCTGGGATTTCTCATTTCATCGAGCAGCTGACCAGACAGTTGCTATAATTTACATTTGAGTCTCATGGTCCGCTGAGATGTGCCCACACTTGCTCGCTGCAGCACTTGTAAACCTAATCTAAACATGGCCGAAAGCTCCGGCCATTGTGAGCATATTGTTTCAAGTCTCTCTGCATCTGTTCGTGTTGGACCAGCAGGTCTATAAAGCTAATGCTACAGATGGTTGTGTTGTACAGTAATGGGCTGTCAGAGACTCACCACTGTTTCAGAGTGAAGATGAATTATTGTTGTTGAGGGCTTAATTTACAATAAACAGCACACACAGTTTAGGAATCATTTATCATGCACATGAAAACCAAAGCAGCATGTCATTAAGTTGCACTATAGGAAATGTTAGATCAACAGATTCTTTACGTTTTAATATTATGTCCAAGTTACTCTGGATGGACTGCCAACTCACTGGGATTGCATACACGCTAGTACAGGATTTACAGGATAACTGGTGTTTTAAAGTGTCTTGGTATAATGCACTGGTGCCCAGTCCTTGTCGTCAAGCACCAGTATCCTGCATGTTTTAGATGTTTCTCTGTTTTGACACAACTGAATTAAATAAACGAGTGGTTAACAGGCTTCTGTAGAACTTGAAGACCTGCTGAAGAGCAGGAAAATAACTAAAACATGGAGGTTAATGGTCCATGAGGACTAGGATTCAACACCACTGGTATAGTCTGGACAGCCTTAATGCATGGGCTTACCTGGGCTGAAGCCCAGGGGCCTACAGCGTTGATCTATTATATTGAGGTCACATGATGAGCTAAAAAAATACATTGATTTGTAATATGTCAAGTTTTCTGTCTATCACTTCAGATGCATATGTGTTGCCTCTGATTGATCCAAATTAAAAGTGGCCCTCCTGTTTCACTTGTCCAAGAGCTAACCAATCAGAATGTGTACTGTTAGTTTTGGGGCGTGACTCACAATGGCCAACATGTCCAAGGAAAAAAATTGAGAGTGTTGGCAGAGTGACCAAAGTTGTCAGAATCTTTTAAACCAGCTGTCAGAGAAGCTGAACGAAGAAGGAGCTCCTCCGCCTCCTGAGGGAGAGGAGGACGAGGTGTGGCCTGCCCAGGTGGATACTTGGTTGGAGAGGTGCAGACAGGAGCGGAGGAGAAAAGAGGAGCCCAGGAGAACCAGGCAGAGAGAGAGAAGCCTGAGACGTTTATAACAGTGACCTGGACCACTGGAGCAAAACATCGACCTAGTGTGTGCGTGCAGAACGGGTGTGCCAAAACCTGATCAGCTGCTGCAGGAGCATGCAACCTTTTTAAAGTGTCTGTCTCGGTTTGACCTTTTTTTTTTTTTAAAAAAAACTGATTTAGTTCTCAAAATTAAACATTAACACTAAAAGAAGTATATTTGTATGACTCAAAGTTGGTGAAGGGCCTACAGGAGCACTTAGTCCTGGGGCCTACCAGCAGGTTAGAGTTCAGGGAATTCTTGACATAGCTTAAAACATAAACTCGACATAAAAATGTAAAACAGAAGCTGGAACGAACACAGAATTCAGTCTAAATTTACACGAGGGGTCCATTTGTTGACTTCCTTTCTCAAGCCCAGGACCTACTATAAATGAAGCGATGAGAAGGAGTGAGAGCTGCTGAGTTTTACTACAAACACTTCAATTTAATTTTGGATAGCTTTATTTTACCTTTAAGAATGAATACTGATACTTTTTGTTGAATTGAGTCTTTAAATATCGTTGCTAAACATCACAGATACAATAGTTTGATCTCAAAATCTTGGCAAATTTAAAGATAACCATCAAGAAGAAAACATGAACCATTGTGTTTCCAACTCAAATTTGCTCTTCTTTTGTTAGTAATCAACTGCCAAACGAATAAAACAAAACTAAAGCAAAACGAAACAGTTGATGCAACGCTTCTGTTTTCACTGCAAGATTCGAAGTTGGAGGGACAAAGTTCAGTTTTGTCCCACCAATGGAGTTTCACTACACGAGTAAATATTCATGTAAATCAACATCGCTTTAAATTCATTTCCTTCTTTGAGCCCTGGAAGCCCCCGCGAGGATGCGAGCATTAATATTCACAGCTTAACTCCACAACGGAGACCCCCCTCCCAGTCCCCCCTCCCAGTTTCTGCAGCAGTGTATATCTGTGTGTTTGTGCTCATTTTAGCTTCTTAAATAAATTGTGTGTCAATAATCACCAGGGCACTCTGTCTTGAGACTTTTGGACTATTTCATATTTGAACTGTGTGATAATTAGAGCACATCTGTACAAGAAAAAAACATTCCATTGATAGTCTCTTCTTCAGACTATAGCACTTTCACTTTTTCATTTACATATCATTAACCTCCCTTCATTCCTCCTGGTATTTTGTTAGGGCTTCAAATTAAATCAGCTGGATTTCTTGTGCTTTGCGTTTTAGTTTTAAATATATTTTCTAAGATTCACCAGGGTATATAAAGAATGCAATAAGTTTTCACGTGAGATTTGTGTAATTTATTACCATGCAACATGGTCACAGCTGCATTTATCCTCAATCTAGTCAATTATACTGTACAGGAGCTGCAAAATTATAAGTCACAAGTTTTTTTAAGAGCTTCTATAAAAATGTACGGTAAAAATACTCAATAAGGACTGAGGTTTGAATGTTTTTTTTTAATGTGCAGTAATTCAAAATAAGACTGTTTTCCCTCTCCTTCACTTTTATTCTGGTGGAAATGTATCCTGTCAAAACATGTTTCAAAGTCAGTCTTCTCTCTGACGGCCTCTGATCTGAAGTTCCACAAATCTTCTCTGCTGTCAACAAAAGTTTGCTGTCGAGGAGAGATAAGGTTAGGTTCTGGAGAAGTCAGTCAAATCTTTGGACATTATGATGCTCTATATGTTCTGCCGCAGACACCAGCATGAACACACACATGCACACACACACCAGCGCGCACACACTACAGAAAATTCAGACATTTTATGAGATGAAAGACAGAAAAGAGAATTTTTTTTTTTCCAGAAAAACATTTACTTTTTGAGGCAGATGGGTATTAGAATCCTTTCCACGTCCCACAGTTAAATGCTAATAGGAGGTCAGATCAAGAAAATCTAACAGCATTCCTATGTTAACAGAGCAATCATATTCTAACAGTGCATGTGGGGTTTGGGGAGGTTGGAAGTGAAGTATAGCCGTACACAAGGGACCACAAGAAAAAAAAAAGAAAAGAGAACTGGATTTTAAAAGGGATGAACTTCTGGGGTAAGTCTGTTTGTCAAAGCTAGCGCACGCATCTAGAGTTGCGTAGAAGAAAGATGCAGACAAACTGTAGGGTTTTGACACAAACATATCCTGGCCTGTAATATGAAGGTTGTACCTCACTGGGCTGCAACTATAGTTGGCAGAGGACATTTGTGAACATTGTCTTATCACAAGCAGAACTGGTTTGTTCCACTTTGGAGTAAGCTGTTGGGGGAAGAATCAGTTTTGTTGCGTTTCCTTGACTGATGAAGCCTTCCGGACCGAAGGTGAAACGTTTCAGCACAAAAAAAAAAGAAACTGTCCAGATGACCTGACTGAAAAATGTTGGATTGTATACCTGATATGGACTTTATTGTCTTCAGAACTTCTTGCTATATTTTCCATGATTCTCAGTTTTACTTGTGTGAGGCGCTGATGTCTCAAACACATTTGATTTTAACTGTGTTCAAAATAATGTGCTGGTTGGGCGGGCTGGGTCGGGCTTTGATAGTGTCAGCGGACGTGCGCGGCTGTTTGACGATCTAATTTAGATCACCAGTGATCCACCTGAAGCTTAACTGGACTCAGCCACTGCGTCAGCGGACGCGCGCGGCCAACGACCCAATGTGTATCATCAGCCACGCATGTCCGCCGACCGTTAGTAACTATAATATTATAAAATAATAATCTGCTGACTCTTGTTAATAAACAATAAATTGTATATATTCCTTTCTAAATACATTTTTAAACTGATTTGTTTTCAAAAGCAGTAAAAGCTTAATTAAAAAAAAATGTCTTTTTTGGGTTCGGGCCAGTAATCACAGTTAATTGGTCGGTTTCAGGTCGGGCTCAGAAAAAAATTATATGGGTTCAGGTCGGGCCAAGTCTGATTTTTTTAGGCCCAAATGCAACTCTAATAACCTTTAATCTTGATTTGTGACCTTGACCTTAGAGCTTATACAACATGCTGTCTAGTGGTGGTACAAATGTGTATCAAGTTTTGTTTAATTATCTTGAGTGGATCAGAAGTTATGGCCAAGACAACTAAAAGACTATGTTTCAACTTTGACCTTGATTTCTGACTATGACCTTGGTACTGGGGTGGTGAAAGTTGTATGTGATATAATGTCTAGCCAAGATGCAAGTGTAAAAGGTTTCATTTAATTATCTTGAGTGGATCAGAAGTTATGGGCAGGACAAAAGAAAGTTTAGGGACGTATGGACGTACAGAGACTATACCATAATATGTCCACCTTTCAATGGGCGTGTAAAAAAATGTTATTAAAAACTAGTCAAAATCTGCCTTTAATCATTTCACAAGTGTGCTTCAGCAGATTACATGATAAATGTGGAGGCAGCAGCCAAGGTGACAACAAATCAAGTTGAGTTATATATGATATGGGCGAAGGTGGGAAACAAAATAATGTGCACAGGCAAGAAAGCAGTTTTGCAAGCCGTGCACAAATAAATAGGCTGTGATTGTCATCAACTAACCGTTAAAAGTGCAGCCGTACTGCTCACTGGTCATTTGTTTGCACAACACTCAAAATTCAGAAAGACTGACATGAAAAATGAGCTATTTTTTTTGTTGTTTAAATGGCCAATTATTCTCCACCAGTCACAGCCCAGAGATACCATTTTAAGGCAGAAAATAAAAAAGGTGATTTGATTCAGAAATACATGACTCAGCCTACACACTCCCTTTCACTAAAAGCTCTGCAGAATGATTTGTGTGGCTCCAGTTTTCTGTATAGTTTGCAGCGATGCGTTATCTGGTGATATTAACAGTCGTTGCAGAGTGAACTGTTTTTGGATTTTGTAAGTGACTAAAACTGTTGCGTTGGCATGAAAAGCAGAGCAAAGCAGTTTCTTTTAAACTAATGCAATCTTAAAATAAAAGCGAGATTATTCTTGGATGGCCTGAAGGGAATAAAAATGTGGAGAAAACAGGATGATGAATCCTTAACATTAATTCAAGGGGCACCAGAGGACAGAAAACCCTGACTGTATTTAATGTTGTGAGTTTTTGACAAGGATTTAAACCTTCTAAAGAAAACTTTATCTGGGAAAAAAATTGCATCTAACATTTAAGGATAAATATTTTCCTTCATGACTACAGACTTTCTTTTTTTTTAACATGTTAAATGCTCTGTGTACCTTTGCATTTATTCACATTCTAAAGCCTTTTCCAGCATGTCTGCACATCTGACTACATTAGGCAGATCAGGTTATCACTCACTCAGATTCAATCTTCCCTGCTGGTACAAATGTCACTGCCTCTGAGCAAAAAATGTGCACTGTGATGATATGTTGGTTGTTAAAATAAGATGAAGAAAATGATTTAAAATCAGTGTGCTGTGCCTGAGGGGAGTGCGGTTTTTGGCGTGATTCGAGCGTTTCTAAAATGGTAAACTGGAGAAATGTTCAGCATCTGGAGAAAGTGGGGCACAGTTTGGTGGAACTGATTACCAATGCTGACTGATTATGAGAAGAAGTGATAATTACGTTAATGCCGGAACAAGTGGGGCTGTTGATATTAAGGCTCTGAATTTCAAATGTGCTCTCCTCTTCAGTTTATGAATTAAATTAATTAAGAGCTGCTTAATTTTGAGAAACGCCATCCCAAACTATTTTGACGAGGTATCGGCGGCTAAAATAGTATCTTGTGAATATTTAGCAGGCATTTAATAATACCCTGAGCAGAAAGCATGGCTACATCTATTTCCTGTCCTAGCATGGGTGGGACATAAAGCGAGAGGAGGTTAAAGCATTTGGAGTGAATGGCAAATTGATACCTTTCTTCTTTGCTGCGTTTTGTTCTGCCGTCAGGAATATCCAAGCTTTTACTGTACACTGATTTACTACGGTGAGACAGAAGACAAAGTGAGCATATAGTCAGAGTCTGTTTATGTTTGTCTGTAATGCAGCTCGCTGGCACTGGATCCAAACTCACTGTCAGACCAGCTGAGATATAACCGAACTGCAAGATCCTTCAAACACCCACGCAAATCCATCTTTATTTGTTCAGTCAGACATTGATTTATTTTATTTTCCACCTCCATGCATACCTTTGTCCATGTTGCGTCATGTCAATAGCCCTCCTAGCTGGAACCGGCGAGCCTCCGTCTGTGACACTGAGGACCTCCATAGACTTCCTCTCAGGTCTCCTCTTGCCATGACGGTTCAACATGGGAGAATCCACCCGCTTCTTCGGTGGATCTGTGTCAAAAACAAACAGGTCGATTCGGAATAAACACAAAGCACCTGACACATCTGTGTCACTGCGTATGTTTCTACATATTGAGCAGTTCAGAGCGTCGCGTGGACAACTGTGAGAGCATGAATGATGTTTAGCACTGATCACATTGACATTCCAACTAATAGAGAATAAGTAATAGCTTCCTTCCAGACTTTGAACTAATGGTCACTGTATTGACTGTATCACATTCACTGAATGAAGAGTCTATTCATCAAAATGTCGGTATCTCATGGCAGACACACACAGGAGTGTACGTAGAGCTTCTCTGTCCCTGCTAAGGTTTCTGTGGATGGAAGTCAGTGAAGCCCAAAATCTATTTTCTTTCTCCTGATGGAGGAAAAATGCTGTAGGATGGTTCGGTTACAAAAAGCTTCCAACAGACACCTGTTTGCAGTAATACTGGATTCTTCTTCTTTTTATAATAAACAGCTATTTCATAATATGATCTACAGTATATAAACAATGGTGTTATTTATCATCACTAGATCAATTCAATTCATGTATATAGCTCCAAGTCACAACAGAAGTCATCTCAAGGCGCTGAACAGAAACATTCATATATAAAAAATTAAGTTAATCATATTATTTATATGAGGAGCAGACTGCTTTGAATTTAGCTTCATCACAGACTCATCTTGAGCAAACATGAAGGCGACAGTGGAAAGGAAAAACTCCCTCATGAGGAAGAAACCTTTAGCAGAACCAGGCTCAGGACAAGCGGACATCTGCTTCAACCAGCTGGGTTTGGTAGGAACAGATGCACAATGGCAGGTCGATAATCACATGTTAAAATAGAAATAATTTAAAATGAAAATGGTTCATTTGTAACAATTCATTTTAAGAAATGAGATTGATTTGTCCTCTATTAGTCTAAGCTTAAGGCAGCATAATAAGTCAACCCTAATTATAGGGTTTATCAAAAGGAAAGTCTTAATCCCAGTCTAAAACTGGACAATGTGTCAGCCTCACGGACAGAAACTGGAAGTTGATTCCACAAGAGAGGAGCCTGATAACTGAAAGATCTTCCTCCCATTCTGCTCTTGGAAACTCTAGGAACCACAAGTAAGCCTGCAGTCAGAGAGCGAAGTGCTCTGTTAGGAAAATATGGAACAATAAGATCTCTAATATAAGATGGAGCTAGGTTGTTGAGGGCTTTGTAGGTTAGAAGTAAGATTTTGAACTCTATTCTGAATTTGACAGGGAGCCAATGGAGAGAAACTCCCAGATCAAAAACACATTATGATTTTATTTTCCTTTCACAGTTAAAGAAAATGGTTAATTTGAAGTATGTTTGAAATCACAACTAATATTAAATATATCTTCAGAACAAAAACCAATTACCTCTGATCTTATCCTCTTAATTATCTAAGAAGATTAAGAAAAACAGTTACTTTTTGGAGCGTTCGTGATTGGTTGAAAAATATGTTGTAAAATAAAGTTTATGTTCTTAATAATATCTTAAATTTCTTTCTTAAACTGTCTATAAATCAGTCTTGTCTGAATTTGGAACATCTTTTTTTGCTGTCGTTTGTTGTGTCTTATCATTCAGTCATATTGATGTGAATTTTCCTCAAAATCCAGATGATAGCTCTTCAGGGTTTCCACCAGATAAATTATAAATAAGAACAGCTGTGCACTATAAAATGATGTTACATTCTTTATCTACAGTTTCTTGCTGTACTTTTCAAACCTCACCAATCTCATTGCGAGGGGGAAGGTTCTGGTCCTCCTGACTCGGGTACCTCTCTTTGCGATCAAGTAACAAGAAGTAGATCATCTTCTCTTGGTTCTCACTGGAAAGACATTATAATTAAATGTCTGTAAGAATTGTTTTGACAGACTGGAAAGAAAAAATTATAATAATGCTGGTTTGTATAAAATTAAGTCAAAAATAAAGAAGAAAAAAAGTACAAATTAAATTAATAAATGTGACATTAATCTGCAAAACATCACAGTATGATTAATGTTCTTTAATCTCTTTTGGATGCACACTGAAACAGCTAATTAATAGCTTTAATCTTTAAAACAAAAGTTTAGTTTTACACATCATTAAGCAATTACACATTATGCATAATTTGTCTTTAGGATGCAGATTGGTGTGTAGCAAGTCTTAAAAAAGTATCAGAACACTATAAATTTGACCTTTTCCTTCACAGCAAATCAGAAAGCCCAATATCTTCAGCCTCTATATAACACTCTCTATGCTAATATCCAGGGAATAGGGCTCTATAATAAAGACAGATTGGAAAGCAGCAGGAGGCAAAGAGACAAGGACCTGCAACTTCAGCTAAAATGAACCAGGGGAAGAAATATTTAAGATCACAGATTTTCCTCTTATGCAGCACAATTACAAAAAAATCGCCCATGAGGAAAGAAGCAAATGGAGGAGATGGTGAGGGGGCAAAATGAAAAATCAGTTCTAGCTGAGCACTAAATGGAAAAAAAAGGCTGAGAAAAATAAAAAAATTAAAAAACTTTTCCAGATTAATGTTTACAAGAAATTGTTTATATATACACCCGGAACTTA